TGCTCGCGCCCGCCTGCCCCCAGGCCCTCCGCGCCCGCCCGCCCGCTTGTGCGCCCAGAGACACGTATGAAGGGCACCAGCTGTTTCACGCCCACGCAGGGCTCACGCAGCAGGACGCTCTGGGATGTGTTGTGGGGACAGGGTGCCCGGCTGAGCAGGCAGGGCCGCACCGGGCGCCCCCTCGCAACGAACCCCCGCCAGGCCCAGGACACCTTGCCCACACAGGGCTTTGCAGCCCTGATGCAGACCACGAGGGCAGAAGCAGAGCCAGCCCCATTTTTGGCCCGCTGTCCCCGTTATCTGGGGGCTGGCAAGAGGCAGGTCCGTGCAGGATGCCATCGAGCCCAGACGGCAGTGTCCTGGCCCCAGAAAGAGAGCGTGAAGGCCACAGTCAGGTCTGGGATGCAATTTTGTTCCCTGGTCCCAAAAACGAGCTGAGACAGTCCACCTCCTTCCTTGGGCACCACGAGTCCTCGTGTCCCCAAACGCTGCCTGTCTGCAGCAGCCCCGGTGCCTGAAGCCCCCTCGCCACCCCCTGCCCAGCTGCAGGACGCCGGCATGGCAAGCGAGGGGCAGAGGCGGCAGTGCAGGGGAGGGGAGGGGAGGGGAGGGGAATTTGGGGGTGCAGCGTTGCACACAGCTGGTGTAAGCCACCGTGTGACAGCTCATGCCTCTCCTGCTCCACCAGCTTTCGCTGCCAGCCCAGAGGCACATCCTGGCCCCCTGCCATCCTCCCGGTGTGCCCTAGACACAGCCCTCAGTTCCAGCCACATTTCAGTGCAGGTCGATGTTCTCATACTCCAGGTTGTCTGAGTCCTCCAGTTCGATGCCAGGTACCAGGTTGTAATAGTTGGTCGACTGGCTCATGTACATCTTCTCCCGGTCGGCGGAGTCCTTCAGGACGTCGCTCACACTCACGGTTTCCTCTTCTGCCTCGCTGCCCACCAGCAACTCTGCCCTTGGTGGTGCTGGAGTGTCCTGCTCCGTGCCCGGCTCCGTTCCTGGCTGCCCTGGGTTGGCCAGCACCAGGGAACTGCTGGAGGATCCCACCTGGATCTCCACCTCCTCATAGAGGTCCTTGCCACTCTCCAGCAGGGCTGCGGAGGGCTGGAGCAGGACCTGGTTCCCCAGGAGCACTTTCTTCTCTGTCTCGGAGGGGGCAGCTGGCAGCTCGTAGGGGACGTAGTGGTGGGGCTCTGCGGGCACCGTTGCATTGCTCGTCTCTGCCATGGCCAGGTGGCTCTCAGGCCTGCTCTGAAAGCTGTAGTTGGTCTTTCTCCTCCGCCTGCAGAAGCAGCAGGTGATGCTGGCAAGGATGAACAGTGGGGGCAGGCAGATGAAGAGGGCGGTGAGGTTGTGTGAGCGGCACAGCTCATCCCGGGGGATGCTCTGGAGGTCGGTGCCATGGTAGTGCTCTGGCGTGTGGCAGATAACCTCAGTGGCCAGGCTGGGCCGGCTCTGCAGGACGCTGAGCAAAGCGCAGCTGCAGTCCCAGCTGTTGTTGGAGAGCTGGAGCTGGAGGAGAGACGGCTGCAGGAGGCTGGCAGGAAGGAAAGTTAAAGCGTTGAAGCCTAGGTAGACCTCCTGGACCTGGGTCGATGCTTTCAGAAAGGACTTGGGCAACTCCTGGAGCTGGTTCCTGTCCAGATAAAGAACCTTCAAACTAGGGGCATTTTCCAGAAAGCTTTCAGGGAGGCTTTCCAGCTGGTTGTGACTTAAGTGCAAGATCTCCAAGGTAGGGGTGACTCCCTGGGCGTTGCTGATGGCTGTAATGCTGCAGTGCGAGAGGTAGAGCTCCCGCAGGCCCCGGACCTCTGCCAGGGTGCCCCAGTCCAGGTGGGTGATGTTGGAGCTGGTGAAGTTGAGACAGCAGGTGTCAGGGAGCGCAGCAGCCTGGAAGTCCTGGAAATCCATGGGCCCTGTGCAGTTGCAGTTTTCTGATGCCAGGTCCAGGGCAAGGCCGGCAGTGAGCAAGATGCTGCCCCACAGGGGCATCGTCCGCAGCCTAGGACCTGCAAGAGGAACAGAGGAGAGGATGGGGGACCCCAGCCCCCCCACCAGCCCAGCTCTCCTGCTCCCCTTGCTCCAGGCACCCTGCCCAACTTGGAGCGGCTGAACTCAGCTTCTCCCCCTACAGAAGGCACCTGGGAGCTCTGCCTGGCCCTGCAGCGCACGGGACAGCCCAGGGGGCGCAGGGATCCCAGCGGGTCCCTGCAGACCCTCCGACCCCGCTCGCAGGCTGGGCTGGACCCATGTCCCAGGGATGCTCACGCTGCCAGGCCCGAGGATGCCTCAGCGGCTCCGGCCCCGACCCGCTCCCGGCCGG